CGTGTATGGCTGAGCACGGGCACGAGAAGATAGTAAAAGCGCTTTTGGAACGAGGGGACGTCAATCCCAATATGGCAGACACCAACTATGGCCGGACACCACTCTTGTGGGCGGCTACGTGGGGGAATGAGGGGACAGTAAGGATGCTTTTAGAGCGAAAGGATATCAACCCCAATACAGCAGACTCCTATGGCTGGGCGCCACTCTCGTGGGCAGCTGAGAACGGGCATCAGGGGGTAGTGAAGATGCTGTTAGAGCGAGAGGATGTCAATCCCAATACGGTAGACACCAGTGGCTGCGCGCCACTCCTGTGGGCGGCTGAGAACGGGCATGAGTGGATAGTAAAGATGCTTTTGGAGCGAGAGGATATCAACCCGAATACAGCGGACACCAAATATGGCCGAACGCCACTCTCGTGGGCGGCTCAGAATGGGCATGAGGGGGTAGTAAAGATGCTTTTAGAGGGAGAGGATGCCAATCCTGACGCAGGAGACTCCGATTATGGCCGGACACCACTCCCGTAGGCTGCCGAGAACGGGCATGAGGGGGTAGTGAAAGTACTTTCGAAGCGAGAGAATGTCAATCCCAATACTGCAGACGCTGAATGCGGCCGAACACTACTGTCTAGGACTCTTTAAAGAAAATGATGGAGTTTTGAGGATCCTACCGAAATATGTCAGTGTAAGCTCCGAAACTGCAGATCGCATTAGTCAGGCAGGGCTCCCATCCTCTGTAGGGCACAGGAACGAGTGTATGGAGGAGATGCGGTTCGGGGGCGGTGATCCTAATGCCAACCTCCCAGGCCTTCGCGACCAACCTGCACTCTCATCGTCAGGTCCTGACGAACAGGAAGAGTTATTGGACCGCAGAGGTTCTGTTTCTAAGTCCGCAGGCAGCGATCGCTCCTTAGCCGAACCATCCATGCTCTATCAACCCCCTTCCGTGCAGCCCCCGAACCCCAGCAACCTCCAAAGAAAGCTGACACCCGTCCCAACAACACCCAACCCTCTCGATTTTGTTCAACCGGGGCATTATCATCGCCTCTTCCATTTGTCTTTTATCTTTTCTCGTTCACATCCTTCCTTCTCCGTTACAAGACATACTCTCATTCCGTACATATTTGCCGAGCGAGGGATTGGTACAGTATAGGTAGACTCCCATCGATACAAATATGAATAAGCTTTGATAAATGGTCCTTTTTTTCCCATTTGCTATTTATCCCCTCTTTTCTTCTGTCACTTTATTCCTTGGAATTCCGGTTAGTCTTGGTCCATGTCTTTGTGCTTCTTATTCCTCATCCCTATCATTTGTTAAATTTTGTCTCCCATTTTACGAATAGCGATGTATAGTACAGTACACCCTTACGGGAAAATGGGAGGGAGTAGACCCTAAGCCTAGGCAAGCGCGC